ACATTCTGTGATTCTGTGTGCATGAACATATCAGAGGCCATCTGTGGCTGTATGGATGGAGTTGGGAACTGGTAGCTGATGTAAGATGAATACCTTGTGTAGCAAAGTATTTGGAGTTCTGTGCTGGAAACACAGCAAAGTACAAAAGTAGTCTCTGTAGTTTAAGTAAAACAGAAAGCTTTTTGCTGGATTAAATAGAAGCTAACTAGTTGGTAGAGTATTGGTGGTATTTTTCTATGCTAAAGATGCATTAGCACATCTTTGTGCTCAAATTACTGAAAAACCCCCAGTTTTTAGGATTCTAATGTTACCACCTAGTGTGAAGCTGATTTAGTGTCAAATGGATGCTTTTTGTATGTCTAAGTAGGGGGAAAATTTCTACCTTGATTTGAGAACATGTAGGAAAGGTCAATCCTGTGATGACATTTCCCTTTTGGGAAAGTGGATACTATATTAGGAAATGACAAAGGTAAAATACCATAAAGTACATGTATAAATTAATCTGCTACTGCATTCTTCAGGGACATCTGTGTAAACAACAGGATTTGTATATTTGTATTTTACATGGAAAAACAAACCATTTCCAATGCATTTAGCATTTATGAAGGCATGGTAGTAACTACGAGTTTACCAAATATTTGAAAATTCCTTCAGAAAGTAGGAAGGATATTTATATAAGAGTATCAAGTGTATTATGCACATCCTATTGGCTCTGCAGAAGCTTGTGGATAAATCACCTGTGCGTACTTTATAGAGTTACTAGATTTTTCGTAATCACTGGGGAAATAAAGATTGAATTTACAGCCAATGAAACATAATTCTAAATTTCTTTTGAAAATGAAATGATATTAAATCTTGTAATCCACAAGCACAATAATACCAGTAACTATTCCAGAAGGCCATTTTGTCTATAATGTAATGAGGTGTATTGCATATGGGAATTCAATTTAATTAGAAGAGTAGGCATACTGCTTGAAGAATGGTATAATAGCTATAGTTAAGAACATTTGTAAACACTTGTGTACCTTGAGGCTTGTGGCTTGTTTTGTATTCTTCTTATCTTTATATTAAAGAGATAATGTAGGAAACCCTACCTTCCTCTAGCAGCATCTGTCTTTGTTAGAGAATGCTTAAAATATCTTCAAAGAATAACTAAGATTGGTCAGAATCCTGTGTTAACTTGATGGTCCTATGTGACTAGACTGAAAAGCTGAGACTAAGAATTTAGGATGTTGAAGATAACTTGCAGAATGATGGAGCTGTATATATGAAATACTTTTTTTTTTCCTACAGAGCCTTTCAACAAAATAATATTGTAAAAAAGACTGATAACAGAAATTTTGTGCTAAACCTGAAAATAGAACACAGAAAATCAACTGTAAAATCATAACAGGTTGCTTCTAAAAATTTCATTTGAGTGCCTTAAAAACATAAATCGCAAGTATGGAAGAATGTAATAGCCTTTACTTTTAAAAATAAATTTTAGAATTTTGTTTTTGTCTTCAAAATAGGTTGTGAATTATTCACTGTCCACTTTGTGTTTTATAACAGCAAAAGCTCAAGGAAGAGAGGGAGGCTAAACGTGCTCGGCTGGATGGCAGGCATGATTACTTACTGGATACCGTTGCCTCCTGTGTGAATCTGGACAAAGCAGAAGTAGAAGATGCTATTCTTGATGGTAACCAGGTAATCTGATGAATTTGATAGTGAAGCTCATAGTGTGCTTTAGAACTGATATTACCATCAAATACTTGGTGAGATCGTTGTCAGACTTCATGTCTGAGTTTACTCAAGTCTTCTCATCAAAAAAATATTTCTTATCCATTTGTAATTAAGTTGAACAAAAGTATCCTTAGTTTCAGGACCTACTTTAATAATGATTTTGAAATTAATTAGAATTTCTGCTTTCTGATGGTTACTGATAGTACAGAAAAACCTGTGACTGTATTTTGTACTGGATCCACAGCATAGTCTCTCAGTCCTTTAATATATAGTACATAGACTCAAGAGGCCTGTCCAGAGCAAGCTGCATGTTATTGTTGTTTCTATTAGGCTGCCACCAGCACTTGTGAGACTACATTGTGATTTAGTTTAGGAAATTAAATCAGGTGGAAACTACTTCACAAAATAGAATGGCTAAGTGATCTGACTGACTACATGAGAGTTAATGCAGGGGCTATGCAGTTAGAAATATATATATATATATTCATAAAACGGTACATCAGAGTTAATGGGAAGTAGTATATGCAATGGAGATACATTTTGAGATTTGAAAATAAATCATTACTTTTTTAAAACCTAGGTAGACAGCAACTAGATCTTGTTTTACTCCCCGACACTAAAGTAAACGTGATTGTATTTTTTTTTTTTTTTTGTATTCCTTTTCTGTCTGTATACCTTCTATTTACGCGTTCCCATTTCAGGACTAGTATTGTTGAGAAACTGAAGAAAGTCCAGTGGAAGACTATCAAGATAGTGAGGGACACAAGGCATGTAAAGTATCAGAAGAGGGAGAATAAGGCCGAGGGCAGTCGCATAGTAGCCCACAGTTGTTTGAAGAGTAGTTACAAAGACGACAGAGCTGAACTCTTCTTAGCAGTTGCAGATGATATAACAAACACAATAGCCACAACTTGTAGATCGGACATCAAGAGACCCTTCTGAACCAGGAGGGTGATACAGCATGGGAATAGGTCGATCAAGTGAGCTGTGGAATTTCTATCACTGAGGTTTTTGAGACTTGGCCTAGGCAAAGCTCTGGATGACCTGAGCTACTGTTGATGATACAGGAGGCTGACCTCAAGATCTTCCAGAAGTCGCTTTGCAATATTTCTCTGATTCCATGTGATATAGGAATATAATCTATGCAGAACACTGCCACATGAGTTAAAAAGCAGAACTTGTTTTGACCTTGCATTTTACCTCTAAGTGGGTTTCTTGACAAACAATATAATGTCTGAGAAATTGTCTGATGAAGAAAGTATTGGCAGATATTATACTTGGAAAAAGTGTAATAGTTGTTTTGACCTCATCTTGGAGGGCTCAGTCAAGATTTTCTGGAATAGCAATTTGTGATCTTTGTGAGGCTCATTATTAATGGAAGAAGGATAAATGTGGCTTTCTTCTTGCTGCTCGTGATCTCTTAGCCCTTTTCCTGTACTAGGAAGCACAAATTGTACCAGCAAATCTTTCTGAAGAATATCTTCTAGAAGTAGAAGCCTTTTCCACTGGAAGATTGCTATGTAGTTAGGGACTGTAGGAAACAATGACTCATAGGTCTAGAAAAATAATGGATTAGTCCAGACTTTCAAGAGTTGAAACACTGATCAGCATGCTAGCGTAGAGCAATTAACTTTCTTCCTAGGCCTGTATGACCACCTCTCCATGAGATTCCTGGACTGCACTACCAATACATGGTTCAAGGATGCATGATGGCAGCCTTAAATTGATGGAGAACTGTAAAATTGTCCTGATGCTTAACATATAAATAAATAAAGGATTCCTCTGTTGCTGTGATATAGAATAATTACAGCTGTGTGTTTTCTGCTTTCAGCTAGTTAGCTGAATGGTGGTAAGAATAACATGGGTGAGGGACTTCAGTGAGGTGCTGCTGCACTTCAATAAATGCAGAAAATGCCCTGTGCCCTCAGTTTGAGAGACAGTACACGGCATGTTCAGTAAGTGGCTTCAGTAAACTGAAACATAGCCTGGCTATATTAAATTGTGTTCAGCATGGAAAAATTTAAATTATTCAATTATGTAGCTGTGTGCTGCTAAAGGACAAGGCAACTCAATCACTTTTTGGGGAGTAGTAGCTGGACCTGGTATAACCGTCACTGAACAGTTTTAATGTGTTGAGTATTTGTCAGCTGTTATGAAAAAAATCTGTGCAATTTTTATAGTGACTGTGCTATGTATAATGATCTTAAACAGATAGAGCGCATTGATAAATTCCTGGCCCCTGGATGTTTGCGTCATCTGATGTTCTACTATCAAGATGTAGAGGCAATGGATACAGGTAAAGCAACTTAGGTTCTCCTGAAACATGTTGTGCTGGGCAAGTGTGCAAGGAAAAAGCAAAGTAAAGTTCTTATAAACCACTAATTTTCCCCTAGAAGCCCTCCATGTTTCTTGGCACATGACCACTTATCCAGGTGGTCCTGTCATGTGACAAATGGCCCCAGGAAGCCTGCATTATGGGTAGCAGGGCCATTACCTAAGAAGCCCCTTCTTGTATCCCCTTCCCCAGTGCCCCGATGCTACCATGCTTTTGGGGGAAGCCTCCTTCTCACTTATCCTGCAGGCAGCTCAGGACCACTGTGACAAGGACATCCTCCCTTTGCCCATGGCTTCTGTCCCAGAGCCTTCAGTGCTGCTGCCATTTGAACCTGCTAGGTGCTATGTGACATCTGAGACCCTGTTGGTGTGAGCTCACCCCGCTTGTTTACCCTGGATGTACAAGGGCCTCATAAATATATCTATGTATATCTCTGTATAAATATATGTGTTTATACATATGTAAACATACACCTATATGAGTGTACCAGTATGTATTTCTACTTTATGTATTTTCAGTATTTATATGTGTATATGCCTAAAAGGTATGAAAAGACTATTTAATATGATTTAAGCAACTTTAATTATTAAAATTTAAATGTACATAGAAAATTAAATTTCAGTATGTACTTAGCCACCAATTTAGAAATCTACTGAGCAAGTTTTAAGATGCCTAAGTTGAAGTGGTGGAAGTATGTTGGAGACAGTATGAGGGAAGAGGCAAAGCCTATGAATCTAATCAGAGTCCCCATCACCCACCCTTAAACTGATCAGATGACCCTGTGGTAGGATTGTGGTGGCCTTTGGTCTTTGAGGCGTGCTGCTAGATGTAGGCATTACAGAAATCTGGAGAATTAAAAAAACAAAACCCAAATTCACAGCAGCATTGAGTGAATAAGCAAAAGTCCCCAAAAGACAATGCACACTGGAGGGGTGAAAAAAAAAAAAGTTAAAAAAATTAACTGATGGTGAAGGAGGGGAACACAGGTGAGTGTGGGATGAAGTGGGTGAGTTGGAGGCTACCTTTGCCCACAGCTGTGAGTGTACAGTTACTTGTAAAACCATCACAGTGTGCAGCTAGTGCTGTACTTTTTTTTCCTTCTCATGCTGGGGCAGAGTTTGTAAAGTTGTTTTTTGTGCTTATCATTCTGAGGCTGTGCTTCACAGGTTACCAAAGCAAAAATCATAGTTATAGTGATGGTTACTAATCAGTAAAGTGATTTATTACAGGTATCTTGTTGGCAAGGGCACTTACTACGCACCACCTCAAATAGAAGCTGGTTTTCTGACCTTGATGTGGGTCAGCAAATGCTTCAGTTAAGACAGATGATGAACCTACATTTAAGGTGCCTACAAGATACGTTGTGTCCCTGCAGAGCAGGAGACTGTGTATCTTGGTTCACGAAGATGTACTCCAGAGCCCTAAGGGGTCATGTCAAGCTTTGATTTTATGCCCATCCTCACATGCAGATTTTTTGCAGTGTTTTGAGTGGCAGTTATAATATGCAGCTTAACAACTTCCAGCACCCTTTTCAGTACCAATATATATTTTCTAAAGAAGCTGTAGAGTATGCTTCCTTTTTGAGCTCCATACATCATGGGAATGCCCTGAAAACTTGTATGACTGTTCCTGGTCTGGCCTCTGTAATTAGTGAAATTACGAGGATAGTGCAACTTTATGTTAATTGGCAATAAATCAAATTATTAAAATTCTCAGCATTGAGACTGTTTGACCCAAACCAGGGATCTCTGGGGCAGATAGTCATGTACCTGAAAGAAAAAGGGATGGAGGATTTGTCACTTTTTGCAATTTTTTAAATGTTGTCCTTTAATTACTGGTATTAACAATTCGCTTTTTGATCTTTTTACTGTTGTAGTATCTCAGAGATGTGTACGCATGTGCATTTTACTCTGATGTAACACTAGAAAACTAGGAACAGAGAAGTAACGTGGCCAAAACCAAAATTTAAAGGAATTATTTTTCCCCCAAGGACACTGCTACTTCTTGGTGACTCTTAGGCTGTTGGTAACACTTGGAAAACATGGGAGCAGCATATTCCTGTGGGGGGAAGAAGAAAGGACCAGGAAGTCCCTTGTAGCTCTCTTACTGTTTTGGGGTTTTTTGTTTTGTTTTCCCCTCAAAGAATCTGCTGTGGCATGTCTCTCCTTGTTTCCAGAAGCACTCTATTCCTTTTTTTGTATGTTATGTTTAGGTCTACATGTTCTTAAGGAAAGACAGTTCATAATAACTCTTCTGAGGCAAACTACGTTTGCTGATTTTTTTTTTAAGTGGTAGAGCATTATCTGCAACTATGTGGTAGAACGCCATGTGAGAGGATCTTGAGCCTGAACCTTTGCTTAGAAGTAATAGAGAACAAATAAATGAATAAAAATGAAAGGCTTTTGATGTGAGAATGGCAAAACTAGATGAAACAGTTCTTACTGTGCTGTGAGGACTCTGGGTGCTGCATACTGTCTTTGGTTAGTCCCATGGGGTGGTTTAAGCTGACTGAGACTCAGAGATACACAAATAATGACTGAACTGTTTGTTTAGAAAGCTTTTATTTAAAAACCACTGTTTATTTATTCAAATGTTTCTTTTATTTGAACCTATAGAGCACTTTGGCCTTCCAGGAACAGGAATCGACTCTCATTTGACAAAGAAGAAACCTAAAGTGTTTGTGACAGAGGGAAAAGAAGTTGCTTTAACTGGTGTATGCATTTTCTTCATTAGATCTAGCCTTTTTAAACCCATCACAACTGAGAATATCTATCAGGTAAGAGTCAGTGACTGCTGATCACTGTACATAATCCTGTTTAAAATTCATTTTAATCTTGAGCTACTTCCCCTCAGCATTTGATTTGCCAGCCTTTGACATGGAGGAATGAGCAAAAGGACACAGGACATTATCTAGCATCAGCAACTTTAAGTGTATCATTGCTATGAAGAAATGATGCTAAGGAAGAAAATTTATAACAGTCCAAAGTGACAAAGAGTAATTAGTCAATACCTAAATTTAAATTTCAGTAAGTATTACCAAATCCATTAAAGAACCCAAACAAATGTAGTTTTATTTTTGAGAGTATATTTGTAAATTATATATAAACAAGTCTTTACTGGTGAAAGACTCCTTAAATCTATGACAATCTGAAGTGAACAAAGCTGGATCAAGTGCTCCAGTAGTGAGGAGCACAGAATAAAATGTAGGGAATCCTATAGTTGCAGACAAACTAATCAGAGTGCTAAAATAAGAATGATGGACTAAATAAGAATTCAGTGTTGTGAAAAACATTCTATACACTTCAAAATAGGAACTTTTCAAGTACAATTGCTAAGCCAGCAACTTTTAACTTCCCCTGTTTCTTCTGGGAAAACCTTTAAAGCTGTATTTTTCCCAGAAAGGCAAGAAATAGAAGAGCAAAGGGTGGATGAGCCGGTTGTCATTGCCAGATTATGATTTGATTTCTACAGATATATATGCTTTAAAGTTTTATGCTTAACCTCTTAATTTTTTTGATGAATTTGAAAGATCTGGCTTTGATTTGTCAGTTATATACTATTTAACATTTGAAGATTTTTTGCTTATTAATAATGCTTGCAAGCTTGCAATTGCTACTGAAAGATGTGTAAAGCAGAGTTCTTCACAAGTAATATATAGCCCTTGCTGATAGTAGATAATACCTTAAAACTAGGAAAGGCAAGTTGAAAAATAAAATTGATATGTCCGAAGACACATCTAATGTGTGACACTTAAATACAAGTTGTTTGATGTTAAGTTTTGTTGCTGAAAAAAATTATTGTGCTACCTTCTGATGAAGCAAATAATGGCTGACAGATTAATGTAATTTACTTTGGAAGTCTTCAGAGTCTTTTTCAGAATGTCTAAAAAGCAGATGTTCTTTGAATTGTTCTCTCTCACACTGGATAGAGGTCTTTTTCCTGAACCAAAATCCTTGCGCAAGTGCAGGTCAGAATTAACTGTAGTTCATAATTCTTGTGGTATCTAAGCCTTTCAAGTGCATTGATCTCTGCTTATATATACATGTATGTATGCATTAATATATTAAAAATATAATTGATAGCTTTAGAAGTGACAGGCTGGAATAATTTTGCTCACCCATATAAACTGAGCTTTATAAATAGAGGCCTTATACTCTCATATTTTTGAAGTGTTTACAGATCATTGTTTCCTCAATTTTGTATGACAAACTGTGACCCTGTGTAAATCTTGCAGCCCCTGCTAGCAAAAATTTTGCTATTATTGCTTGAAGAGCACTTGTACACACTGATAATTTTTGAGATGCTCAAGGCAATAGGACCACAATAAATATAATGATGGCAAAATTTTGTTTATTATAACTTGTATTGTCTTTCCTTTACAGGAAGTAAATTTTAATATGATGAATGTAGGTCGAGATGGTTTACTAAAAAGTGTTGAGCAGCTGATATCAGAAATCTACATTCCAGCCTTACGAACTATGGACTATGGCTGGGTTGAACTTGGTGAACCTCAACAAGCTTCCAAAATTAAGCAGGACTTCATTGGTTCCCTTGAAGCATTTGTTAGTGTGCTATCAGGAACTCAGCAGAGTCTATTGGAGAAGGTAATAGGTTTGCATGGCAACTAGAAATTGAGTTAGCTGTAGACGCTCTCTTGCTCTGAAGCTCTTGTATTAGCTGCTGTTGTAGAATACTCATTAAAAATTGTTCCTGTTAAACTGGAGAAAAAGAACCCCACTTTCGTTTGTTGTCATCAGTAACTTGTTATACGTTGATCTGTGGCTTTACAATTCTTCAGCTGTTTCTGGTATTGTTTCTTCTGGTGCCAGTTCTTTTGAGCTATTAACTTCTTGACTGTTCAATGGCTGTGGCTTTTCTGAAACCAAAAATGATTAATGTATGGCAAACAGTTGCTTTAATTGTTAGTTCCTACTTGTGCCCTTCACAAAGGCTGAGAGCACAGCTGCCAGGCTGGTGCATTCTCCAGAATCTGAAGTCCAGTTCTGGCTCAAACCAGTTGAATTTAAACTGGAGTGGGCACATGAAGTGAGATACCTCAAGTGCAGAAACCAGTTACTTTAAAAAGTTCCTGGATTATTTATTTTACACATTTCAGCATTTCAGGTTTGGTTTTTTTGTTTTTTTTTTTGAACTTGTGTTTTAGGTCAGTCTGAAGAAATGTGAAACATATGATCTGAAAACTCTAAGAGGGCCTTCAGATTACCTGATGGTTGCTAACAGTGTAGATGCTCTTGAAAGAATAGAAGTCTGCATGAAAGCGTGGACCAAACAAATTGAACAGGTGATGCACTGGACAAATGTGAAATATGAGAATATCTGCATATTGGCAGATGATGAATTTAATCCTGTTGGCATATAGCTAGCTACCTTTCTATAAAGTTAGATGTGATCAGTCCCTGTATTTTAAAGTACTGTTGGCATATTTTGTGTGCTTTTACTTCTCAATGAGAGTATAGAGAGCTTTTTCCATCTCCTAGTAAATGGAATGTACACATGTTTTTGGAATCTTTGCTCCCTGTTTTTGATAATCACTTCCTCTTAAAGAGAAAACATTGGGCTGCTAGAACCTGTTCATGTGCTTACAAGTATTGTAAAGTCAGTGCACTTGTTTTAAGTGCACATACATTTAAAAATGCAGATGAAATTTGTAATTGCAGTTTTCTTAATCTTGGAAGCAGATCCTTTGGAGACTGTAGAGCATAGATCTTAAGGTTTTCCTGAAAGAAATCAAACTGCCAATTGTTATTGCATGAAATTAACATGAGGTTCTTGTGGTGGTCTATGCGTCAGTTGAAAAGCAATCCAAGATAAAACATAGAAGCCTCAAGGAAACAAGTTTTGTAATATTTGTACAGACAGACATTAAGGAAGAGGATAGCATTAATAACTTTTAAACTTGGAAAAATGGAAACTTACTTGCTGCTTTATTCTCTGTTATGCCTGTAGAAATTATTGCTAAGATTTTATCAGAGAAATGTTTATTTGCAATTTAAGATATCACTTCCATGGAAGAATCTTCTTTATTAAGACCTGTACCTCTTAAAAGGAAAAAAAAAAAAGAAAAGAAAAACCCCCAAGCCTCTTTAATTTATAATTGTATGAGCTGATAGCAGTGGGGAGAATGCAATTAACTGCACAAAAGATTTCCTCTTATGTTCTTTCTTTACTCACCTGTTACCAAATAGTGCAAAAAAAAAAAAGTCATTAAAGCATTCGCTATCATTAATTTAGCAAATCAAGAGAGATCATTAGTCTAAGGAACCCAGTTATCACTTGGAGATTTTAGTTGTGTGTTGTTTTTTGGAAGGATAGTTTAGTTTACTTTCATTCTTGGAATTGCATTATAGGTTTATGGATTTTAATACCAAACTTGAGAAATTTAGATTTGCTCACAAACTGGAGGAGAAAGGAATCAAGTTTTGACTGGCATAAAATGTTTATTGCTTTTTGTTGTATGAAGAATTGGAAGCATAATTTTTGAGTGGACAGAAGTTTTCATAGTTTTTTTTTTTTTTCTTCTTAGGAAAGGAAAGCCTTAAATGACAGGGTTCATGAAGATACTTTACCCCTTACAACAATGAGAGATATGAGCAAGCAGAGGCAAATCTGTAGTTAAGCTTATAATAATTTATTAATACATAATAATTCTGTCCCCACATTGCCTGGTTCTCCTAGGGACTTGAGTTTGTATTGCCTCTTAGGAACATGGCTTCATCCTTTATAAACAAATTATTCCAAAAGCCACTATTACTGGTTTAGATTAAAGGTCCTTTTAAACCAGTGACATCTCTGACAATGGGAAAAAGTGGATACTGGGGAAGAATATAAAAGCAGATTAAGAAGACAGCAGTACTTCCCATTAGTATTCTCACAGCCTCTAACAATTTGTAATTCAGAGATTTTATAAGCCAGATTTTTTTTTCCCCCCCTTCAGTAACCTTCTGTGGTTTTCCTTTCCATGTAAACCTCTCCAATCTCCCCTTCTGCTTGTACAGGAAATGTAAAGATGCGCTGGAAATTATCTCAGTCTATGTTACCCAGCTCAGAGAGAAACACTGAACCTACTGAGCTGATGAGAGATAAGGAAATCTCCTAAGCAGTTGGAGGTGCAGCTTTAATCCACCTTATTCCTCAAAATCTTGAATGATGCATTTCCAGATAGTAAAAGGAGCTGTTCTACCATTTCAAAGTTGTTTCTGTTTTTAAAATTCATTCATTACATTCATAATGCAAACTTTCATTTTCAGCATTGTTATCGATCTGCAATGCATTCTTCTATTTGTTGTGACTAGAGTGTTCTCAAATATTATGTAGAATAAGTTACTTCTACTAAAAACTTGCAGTGAATATTATGCTTATTAAAAAAAAGTGAAGCAAACTAAAGTAATCTTCACTTCAGAATATTCTGAAGTAGCTGGCTGCTGGTAGTTGGATTACCCACTGGAGATGGATCACAGTAAATATGCTCCTTCCTATTCTTACCTCAACATTTACTCTGAGGTCCTTGTGTCCATATTGTGTTAGGGAAAGTATTCTGTCTATGCTTACATCATGGTTGCTAAGGTGCTACAAAAGATTCACCTTAGCCAAGGAATCAAAATAGAAGTTAGTTTGTGTTTCTGAGTGGATTTAATGAAACAAAAGGAACAAAATAATTCAGTGAAGATTATTCTCAGTAGTCAAAATAATACTTTGAAACATGCTTTGCAGGTTATTTGCAGAAAATGTAATTGTCTAACAGTGCTCTTGAGATGCTACTCTCTATTTAATGCAGAACTAAAAAGGCCAAGCAAAATTAAGGTCTCTCATGTGAGGTGATTGAGATAGGTAACTTGTCACAGGAGATTAATACTGGGAGTTAAATTACGAATTAATCCCTGCTGTCCATTCAGATAAATAACTAGTAACAGTCATTAATATTGCTGTATGATAAAAGATTCTTGCAGAAAACGACCAGTTGAGAAAGGAAACAGATGACCTTGGACCACGAGCAGAGCTAGATTACTGGAAAAAGAAATTGGCCAAATTCAACTACCTTACGGACCAGCTGAAGAGCCCAGATGTGAAGGCAGTGCTTGGCGTACTCACTGCTGCGAAATCCAAACTGCTGAAGGTTTCTATTTTAAATTATGACAGATGTAAAGACTAGAAATGCTCTGTATACCCTAGTTCATTTTGGTGATGTGTGTAGCATTGCTGGTGGAGAAAATATTGAAGCATCTTTGACTTTTGTTTTCTTTGTCCTTCCCTGTTCCTCACTTTGAGTAGGTAAAGCTTAAATATAGTTTAATTTACTGGAAGAGACTGGAAATCTTCTTTCTCCAAAGGCTGATAATGTACTGATCAACAGTACATTAACATGGCTCAACAGAAATAAATACTTATGAATGTTTGAAGAGTTGATTTAATTTAATAAATTTAATGAACTGGGTAGTTAATGAAAAGGAAATAAAAAACTCTTTTTTTTAACATCTTGTTGTTACAGTGTCTGTCAAAACTGCTTCTGGGGTCATAACTTCTCACATTGACATAACAAAGTTAAAGACCCATCCCAAAGAGAAAAATAAGTAAATAAAACGAAGTCTTGGCTCATCAAAATGAGACATGTGAAACAAATAAATGCTTTATATATTAGCCCATCAAGCAAAAATAGTTAACGGATGATGTCTGTGTTTTACAGCAGCTTGACTGGTCAGTAGTACTGACATAAGTTGTTGAGCTGAGTGGTCAAAACTAACTGTATGTTCACAGCCAAGTTAATGGTACAAAACGGGGACCTATTCCTCCTCTTGGGTGAGCAAATGTAACTAACTCTGAAGTAACAGAGCTTCCAAATGTATTTGGTGACCAGGGTGATCTCAAAACAGTTTAGACAAAACAATTTTTCTGCAATGTGTGATTTTATTTCTTTTCGTTCTGACTTTCTATTCTTAGAACTGGCGAGTGTTGGATATTCGCATCACACATGCAGCAAATGAAGCTAAAGATAATGTGAAATATCTATATTCTTTGGAAAAATATTGGGACCCATTATACAATAGTGATCCTGTAAGCAAAACTTTTAGATTCTTAACATAAATCTCTTGAGACAACTAAAATGAATGTAGTTTGTAGGATCAGTTTGGAAATGACAGAGCATTTTAGGTATGCATCTCCAGATTGAGACTTTGTTCAGTTATGCTAAAAGTGGGAATTCCTGTCTACAAAATAAAGTACTTGTTCTTTTCTTGCTGTGGTATCTTTGTAGCTTTTTGGTCTGATGATGAAACTGGATTCTGTGCTATGGGAGGAAGTGAAATCTTGGCCATTTAAAAAAAAAAAAAAAAAAAAAGAGGTGAAAGTGAACCTGGTGCTATGCTAAAGATAAAGGCTGGGCTTTTGTTTTTATGTTGGCAGCTAGATCAGGGTTAGCCTAACATTAATAAGGCAATTTTCAGCTTCTTGGGTTAGGAAAACATAAATATGGTTATGTAAGTGTTAAGGTGTAAATATAAATCATTTTCTCATACCGTAGTAACAGGATGATGCAAGCATGATGAGTAGTAAACAAAACCAGCCAACTTAAAGTACTGGATAAGAGGAAGGATTCTCACTGTCGCATTATCTGCTAAAGTAGTTGGCAAATGGTTGCTTTTATTAAAACTGGTTTTGCAACTGACTACATGTGTCTTGCTAGGCAGAGAAATATGATGAGTAGCCATGAAGACTCAAAGCTTTGACCATCCTAGTTGCAACCCCCTTCCCCCCCCCCCCCGCCCCTCCCACTTTTCTCAGAGTGGAATTGCTTTCAAACAACACTCTGGGCAACCATGGTATGGCTGTTTGTTTCCATTTACTGGACAGTGTTAGAACAGTGTGTTCTTTGTGTTTCCCAATCTGATATTTGAGTCTCTCTGATGAAAGGTTAGTAAGAAAGCAATATGCTTGCTATTGGCGCTGTGCAAGGTCTGTTGAGCTCTCTCTGCTTTGTGCTCCCTGTACTGGCTTTTACCAAGGAGGAAGTAGTGCCAGCTTCAGAGATGTTCCCTAGGGGTACCTAGGGAGGTGGTTGAGTCACCATCCCTGGAGGTATTTAGAAGAGGGGTAGATGGGGTGCTCAGAGATATGGTTTAGTAGTGGACAGGTGTGGCTGGACTCAATGATCTCAAAGGTCTTTTCCCATCAAATGATTCTTCCTCCTCCTCAACAGGATGGGGGGACAATGTAGGATGAAAAAGCTAATGGATTTTTCAAAAGACAGGAAGATCACTTACCTATTATCATCGTGGGCAAAACAGACTCGACTTGGGGAAAAGTAACTTAATTTATTGACAGTGAAAATAGATTTGGGGAGTGAGAAACAAAGACAAAAATTTAAACCACATCTCCCAACCACCCAGCTTCTTCCCAGGCTTCCTGACTTCTCTTCTTCCTCCCTTCAAGTGCCCCAGGGGAATGGAGGGCTGTGTTTGGTCCCTAACAGGTCCTCTGTGCTGCTCCTTCCTCCTCATACTTTTTCCTGCTCTGGGCTTTCCCAGGGCCACAGGGGCATCTCTGCCGGGGTGCCTGGAGCCCCTCCTCCCGCTGTCCCCTCGGGGCTGGCAGGGCTGTTTCTCACCCCGTTTCCCTCAGCCCTGGCTGCCGGGCAGCGTTTTGCCCTTTCTGACACAGGCTTTCCCCGAGGCCCCCGCCCGCCCGTGGCTGAGGGGCTCTGCTGTGCCCTGCGCTGGCGCCGCTGGAGCCGGGTGAGACCAGCTGTGTCCGGTGCGGGACAGCCCTGGCAGCCAGCACCTGGGCACCTGCACCCCAAAAAGTGGGCTATAAGATCACTTCCTCCCAGGCACTTCATCTGTTGTATATAATTTTTTATTATCTAAATGCTAGTACTATAGGAAAGTTGTTCTTTGTAGTTCCTTTATTCAAATGAGTGCTATGAGGCTTTAATGCACTTTTTTGGTCTCTATACACAAGGTTCCATCAGGCTTAGCAAAAGAGTGTACGAACATGCTTTTTGTGAAAAAGGTGGTACTTTTGAAGAGGCATTTTATCTCTATGAAATTTCACTAACTAACTAGAGTTCTTCCAGCCAAGACTCTAGTGAAAATTTTTTCCTCAAAATTGAATTTTTGTAGAGCTTGGAGGGTGAAGTAGGACAGGAAGCTCCACAGGAGAGACCCAGGGAAACAGAGGGAGAAACATTAAGGAGGACCACATTTGTAACACTCCTGCCTTCTCTAATTAGGCGTTGAGCTAGTGTATGGTGACAGAAGTACTGAAGAGAGTTCAGACTGTGTTTCTTTCCAGGTATCCATGGTGGATGCTATTCCGGGACTCATAAATGCAATTAAAATGATTCAGAGTATCTCTCAGTATTACAACACATCTGAGAAGATATCATTGCTGTTTGTGAAGGTTGGTGCCACAGCTTGAAAGGAAATTTTCACAGAACTTTTTTTTTGTATTGTTGATTGAGTGGAAAACAGAAAACACAAAGGGACCAAGCAATTGATGGGGCAACATTTTGGTGACAGAACTTATTTCACTGTCTGTAATTTGAAGTTGTAAGAATTTTTTCAGACTTCTTGAAGATCAGGACTGATCTCAACTCTGATGTGAATAGATCGAGGAACTTTTTGTTGCAATGATTTTTGCCTGTGGTGAACTGTTTTTTTGTAGAACCAATTATGTTAAATCTATATAGCCCTTAAACCTCCTTATATTTGCATAAAGAAGGAAATGGAGTTAGAAGGACAACCTGTTCTGTAATGATCATAGTCTCATGGGTCCTTGATTTTACCTTTGCTTTCAGAAGTGCTGATGTCTTATGATTTTGTCATCCTCAAGGTTGGTACAAAGTGTTTAGGTTTAAGATGAGCATAGTTAATCAACAGTATTTTGGTGGTTAGTGGTCTGGAGGCTGTCAGGTTAGTCTCTCTATGTGGCTGGTATTTGGTATTGCTATTTTGCAGGCTTTAGGCCAGTGGGGTCAGAGGTATGGGATGAGACTGAAAGAAGGGCAAGATCTGCTTTGTCTTGAAATATTTTTTTCACAAGATTAAAACTGCTTATAGGTGACCAATCAGATGATCACAGCATGCAAATCTTATATTACAAACAACAATATGACCACCATCTGGAATCAACCTCAGGAGAGAGTTATGGAAAAACTACAAGCAACCATTAGACTTAAACAGGTAGGTGGGAAGAGCATGTGGAAAACAGAATATAAGGTGAGATTTAGGAGGGTGTGATTAGGAAAACCTCATTTTATATGAGGAAGCAATGTTGTAATGAAGGAAAATGAAGCAACCAAAATACCTTTGGAACTGGATCGTTTATATTAGAGCTAACAGGGAATTTAGTCCAGTGTCTGTTGATGTTCCACAAATAAGATTTTGATGCTTAGTCTAACTTAAATGTGCTTCTTGTATGAGAATTACTTGGATTTTTATGGCTGAGTTTCTCTAGAAAGTTTCTCCTCATTTGATGAGGAAGGATATGTGATAGAAATGAAACCAGAGGGGAGTTACTGAGCTGAATATATTCCGAAGATGTATGGAAAGCTATACCTTTAGAAAAGACAGTTTAGTGAACTGAGAAGAATTTGACTGTACAGGTTGCATACACTTATTGGGAAGATAGCCTTTATTTTTTCGCATACACTTCCACGACCATTTTGGGATTTTTTTATTTTATTTTATTTTATTTTTTCCTTTAGAACATAGGATCGTAGGATAATTCAGCTTGGAAGGGTCCTCAGCAGATATCTAATTCAACCTTCAGCTCAGAGCCAAAGCAGGGGCAGCTATGAGATCAAACTTGGTTGCCCAGTCCTTTATTCAGCCCTGTCTTGAGGTTCTCCAAGGATGGAGAGACTGCACAACCTTTCTGGGCAACCTCTTTCACTATTTGACTGTCCTTAGGGTGAAAGATTTTCTCCTTACATCCAGTCAGAACATCTTCTGTTTCAATTTATGCCCATTGTCTCTTTGCCTCTGTCCGTGTGTTACTGCAAAGGGCATAGCTCTGTCTTTTTGGTAACCTCCTTGCAGGTATCAGAAGGATCATGTTAGATTTTCTCCATTATTACTTTTTGCTTCCTTAATAATATGTGATTGGAAGAATAGATGTTTATCCTGATGCCTTCTGAAGCAACAAATCTTGAATAGTTCAAGCGCAAATTAGTATAAATGTATATGACACCTTACTATCAGCAATTTGTAGTAAGTTTGTATATTTCTATAAACATACAGCATGTTTGGAGTAAGGCTTGTGCCTAGTTAAGAAAGCAGACTGAAAACTGGAAGCTGCTGTGGAGCAGCATTCGAAATTCAGAAGGATTTTTGTACCGGAAAACGATTTTGGAAAATTTGAAACATTATTACTCAATAAAACTGCTCAGCACACAATCATCATTTTCAGTCTCTGAAAACTGGGTTGTTATTTTGGATATTCAGTAAGCACATCAAGCCCTGCTATAAAGTGGAGGGAATAGAATTTCACGCTAGCTAAGGATGGAGTGTACAAGTACATATATGTGCAATTCATTCATTTGGTGAAATATGAGATCCTGTAACTGTATTGTTGAGTTAGTTTTTAGACCCAAATTCTATTGCTGTCTTTATAGTGTTCACGATTGTTTATTGATTAAACTTCTACTTGTTATCAAGTTAGGATAATATCTGTCTGCATAAATTTTGTTCTAGCTGATAACAGTGCCTTTTATTATATGCTTGACATTCTTTAAAATTCTTTGGTTTTAGGAGTATCAAAATTACTTTCACAAGATAAAAGAAGAATTGAGACAAAATCCATCTGAAAGACAGTTTGATTTTAGTGAGATGTATATCTTTGGAAAATTTGAAACCTTTCATCGACGTCTGGTAAAGATAATAGATATTTTCAATACTATGAAAACTTACTCAGTTCTACAGGAGTCTAAGATAGAGGGATTGGAAGAAATGATCACAAAATATGAGGTACAAAGCAAGTTTTGGATATCCTTTCAGTTTGACTTGAACTTTAAACAATAAGTAATTATGAAAATTAGAAAAATGTTTATGAAGAGAAAAATTAACTCTGTAAGTTGTGCTAAAATTACTGGGTAATAGTTAGCAATGTAAATATATGGTTTCTGGGGAAGCAAGCAGACAAGATGAAAAGGGGTAGGTGGACATGTGAAAGAAGAGGTATGTTAAAGTTGATTGAAAAAAGCAACAAAATGGGAGGACTTTGTAATGAGTAATTGGAGCCGTGGTTTTGTTATGATTAGGAGAAGTGAGAAGTGCAATATTTTGTCTTTACAAATGTCTTGCAAGGTGTGGAAAAGTACTGTGATAAAAATTACAGACTGTCTTAATTTCTTGTCCATTACGCTGTGGGTAGCTGATCAGTGCTTGCCACTGGGACTGGCTCCATTACCATGGTGATTGATGCTGTAGTCAGATTTTCCTTGCGGCTTCAGGGGAAACAAGCTCCAGTTCCATTTCTGGGCTCCATAAATACAGACAAATATAACTTTGATTTCTTGAAATAAGTAATTAAAAAAAATGAACAAAAACAAAGGAAAACTTGGAATCTCAGATTTACTTTGTTTCATTAAAGAAATAACAAAATAGCTATTCCAGCTATTTAATTCCAGCAAAACAGTTTATTAGATTTACTTAAAATCTGTATTCTAGATCTAGAGTACAGTCACCAGCTTTGTGTTTTATGAGGGAAGAAAGAGTTATTTCACAGATGTCTATCTTTAGGGTGAGGGAGGAAGAGAAATGACTTAGCTGGTTTGCTCTGGAAAGCTCTTCAAGTTTAGGCTTTTTCTTTTGTAACAGCAAAATCACTTTGCTTGTTAGTATTACTGGTCAGGTTTCTTTCTGGTCCTTTTATTTAGTAGGAGTGAGACCTGAACAACAAGGAGCTCTTCTAAGAATATAAATGTACTAAATTATGTTCTTTTTCTTCCTTCTTTCTGAGATTAACTTTTTCTATCAAGTAGAGTCTTCTCTGCTTTTACTGAGCCTGAGTTAACTTACCTTATTGTATATTTTTCTTAGGGCAATATCATAATTATGAGACTGGTAAATAGTAAAATAAATCAGATGTATTCAATATGTGGAGTTTGTAAACTGCTTTTGGAGATCATATGTGATACAGTGACAGTACAGGCAAATGTGGCATTCTAATTCACTTTCCCCTATCCTTTCCCTTTTTGTTATGCCCATGAGTAAATCACTTTGCTTTAGTTAAATAACTATAGGGTAAAATATGAACATTCCATGGTCCATCCTGGTTTTATTCACTCCCTGTTGCAGTCCAGGATTTTGATTCCTTGACTGCATCCTTCACAGTAGCTAGTTTTCTACTTTGTTCTTTTCTGTAGTCTTCTGAGAAGAAACTTGTAATTTTTACGACAGGAATTTATTATGTTGCGATTCTTTATGCCCTTAGTTGCTATCTGGGATTTTCTTGTTTTTAGAGGAAAAGATTCAATTTTTATTTACAGTATAACAATAAAACTAAAGTTGAATTAAAATGGTGGAAGTCTACTGTGCTGAAAAGATGTTGAACTTCATAGCTGTACTGTGGTAAACAGCTAGGATGTGGAACAGTGGTTCATCATTAGAAATCCTTTAACTGTGTGTACAGCTCAAGGGAGATGCTGATTAAGATGTACTTTCATTTGAGTGGACAGCTATGTAAGAGAAGCCAGGAACAGTAAGCCCTGAGCTGGTGATGTGCTGCATCTTACTGTGACTTTTCAATAGTCTGTTTTTCTGTATGGAATCAGTTAATTTAAAGACAGGAAAGCTACTAATGTAAAAATATTTTTCTGTGTTGAATTTTGTTAACTTTTAAATCAAAATAATGTACCTCTGCATGAGAGAATATTTAATGGGTAACAAGTGTATTTGATGAAAAGCAAAAGAATTGAATTTTCTGTCAGTTCTAAATGACTTAAACCAGAAGTAAATAATATAAATTAAATTCATATGGCCATTGCACCAACTTGTTTCCTGCAAATATGTCATTTAGTGGTTTGCTTATATTGCTCAGCAAATACTGGTAACTAATGGCAAAGGTAAAATGTAAATGTGCACAGCCCATTGTGCTAAATATTTTGGTGTGGTAAGTATTTTTGATAAGACATTTTTTTGGGTGATAATTTTCTTTTTCTGTGAAACTGTTTAGAGCATTGTTGACATCATGAAGAAAAGGCATTACAATTTCTTGGATCAACGGAAGATGGATTTTGACCAAGACTATGAAAATTTTTGCAGAGAGATAAATGATCTTCACGTAGGTTTTATGATTCAAATAAAAATTTAATTTACTGATTAATCCTCATGAAAGCAAAAATACATCTGTCTGTGTTACCACCAAACAAATGACACAAATCTCAAAGTTTGTGTTCTGAAATTGAAAAATTAATCTAATGTATCTCCACTTCAAAGTTTGCATTTGTTACCTAACTTTCAGACCCATTTCATGAAACAGGCCAGAAAGGGCCTTGAAGGCCTCCAACAAAATTACTTTTCCTTGCTATACTTTATTTGGAAGTTATGCTAGCAAGAATAACACAAAAATGGATTATTTCATTGGGTGAATGGGAGCGTAGCAGAAAAAAGTCAGATAATTAACTTTTCCATAGTTCTGAAATCACAATTTGGTGGAAGGAAAGGGTATCTGTAGGAGAAAAAAATTAAAATAAATACTTGGCTTGCTTTGGCTGCTAAAAAGGTAGGCAAGCATTCTTTGAGGCTCTCAACACAGTGGAACATTTGAGGGTGCAAAAGCTTTTGCTGGTTGCACAGCTACAGAAGGAACTTAGAAAGAAAGCACTGTGAAAGTTGGTTGTATTTTGTTTTATTCTTGAAGAAAGGGAATATTGATACTTATTGAGGTTAATTTCCCATTTAAAAAAAAGTTCTAATATAGTGCATGTTAAATCCTGTTAAATAATACCTGGCATATTTGAGGTGTGTGCTTTATATAGTTCTCTGCTATAGAACTATTTGTTCTCCTTCAGGATCAATTAAGGATTTTCATGGACATCACCTTTGAAAATATTCTGAACACTGAAAGAGCATTGAGTATGTTGAAGAAATTTGAAAGGTACTATATCCTATCTAGATTGCTAGAATTCTGCCAAGCAATGGAAATAACACTTTTAGGATGGTGGGTAGTGGGGGAGCAGAACAGCGGGCATCTCCTTAAATACAAATCAAAACCAACTCAACCTCCTTTCACTCAGCTGTTCACCTCTGTTAAGGGATGTCTGCTCAGCAGTGTAGATGAATAGAACCCCTATTTTTTGTATTGGAAAATGCAAAATATAAGTGGACTTTGAACTTCATCCTTCAAAATTACCATAACTACAGGAATACTTCATGGCTGTTGGTATATTTGCTTCAGCTTTGTCCTTGAACAATGACTTTAATTTGTTACCGCAGTGCAATTAGGAGAGAGTAAAATGCTTGTATTAGGAAATAGTGAAATAATCAGTCTTGATAAATTCACATTGTTGCAAAGCAACCTCAGTCTTTATTGTTATCAGTTTTCTTCTAATATTCTGTTTAATGGAGTAGACTGTTAGTGGTGAATTTGTTACAGTTTTATGCACATAATTTTAGCTCACTGTTTGAAAACAGTGGCAAAACAGAAAATGTGTAGGTTTACTTGAAAACTTTTATCATCTGATCTAAATCTTGGTTGCTTGGAATCAGGTTGTGACAGCATTTGTTCAAACTTTAGTGAAAACTCTGTCGCTAGAGTAGTTATTTTCTAAAGAATGCAAGGGAATCTGGAATGACTGTATTTTACAATAATGCATCAGAAGAATTTCAGAAGTATTGAAGGAATTTTTTAAATTATTATTATTTCTATAAGCAGATTACAAATCCCAAATCTTGGCATTGATGAAAAGTATCAGAAAATACTTCAAAACTATGGTCATGACATAGAAACAGTCTGTAAGATCTACACTAAGCAGAAGCAGGACCCTCCACTGGCTCGTAATCTGCCTCCAATAGCTGGTAAGATCTTGTGGGCACGCCACCTATTCCATAGGATCCAGGAGCCCATGGGGTCTTTCCAGCGGCACCCGGCTGTTCTGCAAACACCTGATGGCAAGCGCATAATCCGCAACTACAACAAAGTAGCAAAAGTTCTTATGGAGTTTGAGGTGATCTACCACAGGGAATGGCTTCAGCAGGTAAAACAACTAATTTTGATTAGGATATTTCTTTAAAAAAAATGTGGTGGATTTTTGTTGTTGGCAGAGTAATAGTATCCAGCTTTACAGACCAGACTGGATTCCTGTTGTTTCAGGCCTCAGTGAAACACTGGGTTACAGCAGTGAGAAGGAATCTCTGGTTAATAGCATTAGTCAGGTATGCTAAGATGTAGACTTAGGATGCCTCTTAAGTGAGGGGTGAAATAAGAAAAGGCACTTTATAAGAAAGTGTTTCTATTAATAAACAGTACCTGTACTGCCTATAGCTGGATTTAGGAGCAATTGAAAGACTTTCATTATAACGAAGAAGTTATAATGAAAAATATTTTTTATGGAAATGTGTAATGAAGATTCAGTGGTAGCCTTAGCAGCCCCTCTGCCATATGCTACTGACTGTGATGCAAGAAAATCATGTGGGGGGAGGGGAGTTTTGTCAGCTGCTTAGTTTAAGGTAAAAGTAGACATATCCTCTGATCTGGACAATATAGATTTGGTTTCTGAATGATAATCCATGAGTACTCTCTGAGTGAATATACATATAAAAAGCATCCACTCTCAACAGATAGAACATCCTGTAGAATTACTAGCATACTTGGTGCACAAGTGTGTTTTGAGCCTGTTGTGGGTTAACCCTGGTAGGCAGATAAGCACCATGCAACTGCTCGCTCACTTTCCCTGCCCACTATAGTGAGAAAGGGAAGAGGAAAGGAAAAGTAAGAGCAAGAAAACTTGTGAGTCAAGATAAGTTGTTTAGTAAGTGAAGGAGAAGTGGAGGAAGAGAGAAAGAAAACAAAATAAGTGTTGCAAAGGCAATCACTCGCCACCTCCTATGTGTAGATCAATGTCCAGCCAGTTCCAGAGCAAAAGATGACTAACTTTGTCAGCCCCTGCCCCTCCTTTTTTATTTTTTATTGCTGATCATGATGTTTTATGGTGTGGAATATCCCTTTGGTTATTTTGGGACATCTGCCTGGTTTTGTCCCCTCCCAATCTCTTCTAAACACCCCACCCACCCAATCTATTCACTGCAGGGGACACAGTGAGAAACCTGGAAGGCCTTGATGCTGTGCAAGCACAGTTCAGCAATAACTAAAACGTTAGTGTGTTATCAACATTGTTTTGGTTACAAATCTGAAACACAGCACCATACAAGCTGTTATGAAGAAAATTAACTTCATCCCAGTCATACCCAGTACGGCGCCATTTCATTTCCTATTAACCATTTGGTAAGGCAGAACACTTTGTAGTCTGAATATTTTTCAGAAAACATGGTTTGCCTTTGTGGTTTCACCAGGACAACCTTATGTTCTAAATCTTGTTTGACTCATTTTGCCATCTTGGGTTTTGTACATAGAACCTCTGACTGCCTTCATATTATCAAATGACTTCTGCAGGTACTACTTTATAGCCTTGCAATCTCTGCAAGTTTCTACTATCCTGTTGGCATATTTTTGACTTACAGTTACTTTGACTTGTCAAAGAGCACGTTGTAAGAAAAATTGTCCTCAGCCTCTCAGATCTCAAAAAGAAGGATCAGAATCTCCAGATGACTGTTTTGAAGGTGGTGGTACAATTAGCAATGCATCTGCCTCCTGTTCTTGGAGCTTAGCCCCAACTTTTGGACAATGTGAAAATCTCTGTTGCTGATAAACAATAGTCTTCTCAAAGCTAGTCTTATACCAGACCTGGGATGAGAGGTTGCTGCTGTTTCTTGTCCAGTCGGAATATACTAAGATTTCCTGGCTTTTCCTTTCTCTCTTAACTCTTGCATTTGCCATGAAGGTTTAAAGGATCACTGTCTGATGCTGTAAGTGGCAGTGTTTGTGTCAAGTTGGTATACTAAATCAGGAGAAGTGACTACAATATTAAAGGTTGTATAATATATTGTGTTCAGACTGGCTTGGCTCTGCTGCTGGATATATGTTTATATGTTACCGATGATAAATCTAGTGCTGACTGCTAGCTGGGAATCAAGGAACCTGAAGAATATTACCTCAAATGTTCTTTCATTATAGATTGTTTCAGATACATCAGATCTAAGTTTGGCACTATTGACCTCTATATAATTGGTCTTCCTCCTGGGCAGTAATGAAAATTGCTTTTGTTGTACTTAGAAATGTCTTTAACTTCAAGTGCTTATTCTGGTAGCTTGAGAAGCCCATCTTTGATTTCCTGTGCTCTTCACAGAGAGCTGGTATGGTATATGTGTCCCTCATGTTTTATGGAAGAGGAATTGTGATACTTCAAGAAGCCTTTGGCATTTCTTTAGTGTTTCTCTCATGGGCTCAGTTTCTGTTTTGATGCTAGTACTGTGCTGGATACCTGCAATCATTCCAAGTCTACTGATGTTAGCTTTTGCTGAATTGTACCTGCTGCTGTTATTGTGTCCTTACCTGGGCACTTTTAAGATATATTCCCTGTCTCAGCTATACAGACTAAGGAGGATGTATGCTGCTTGTGGGGCTACATCTGTCTCCTTTGGCTAGATGATCTAGTGATAGATTTTCTGACACGTACCATGCCTTGACCGAGCAGTCATGTACATTCTCCTTTCATCTTTTGCAAAATGACTGTAACAGCCAAGGTATCTCCCCTGAACTGGTACCTTTCTTTGTGAATTCCTAGTGATCTGTGATCTGATTATGATCTGTGCTAAAAGTAAGCGTTCTCCTATAGCAGAGTCTATTTGCACTTGGCAGCCATATAAACTTGCTGTGCCTGCTCCAACCTTATACTCATTAGGTGGGAACAAAGGGAGGTGGCACAATTTCCAATTTTTGAAACGAGCTCATATGCCTTGAAAATACATGAAAAGTATATCCACTTTAACATCAATGTACTTGCCTACCAGATATATTAAAAAAAAAAAAAGTGACTACTGTTCAGTAGTCTCTTGAGGCGCAGCAAGAGTGCAGACAGATGTGGAAATAAGTATCATAGAACACAAGGTGGAGCTCCTGCTCTACTCCTGAACAAAAGAGAAACGAGGCAAGTGTCCTGTAGGAAATATAAATGCAAGTAGAGCTGTAGCTCCTTTTTTGTTCTTCTGTACAGTGGAAATAGTTAAGCTTAGTGGCACTTACTGATGTTTCTGAACATTTTTTTCCCCTTTTGCCTGTTTGTTACTGGATGGTTACCACCTTGTTTACCCACTTTTTTAATAGCATAAGATTTAAAGCTGTTATTTTTGTGTTATAGCCAATAAAGCTCAACTTAGACATATTAAAATAATAAAATACTGGGAAGTGTGAAAGTTACTATAATCCTATGGCAGTGTAAGATTTGTACCTTCAAAGTACTCCTTATTGCTGTTACCTTAATAATGAAAATTGCATGAAAAAAACCATAAATGGGAGAGGAAGAGGTTGATATTCAGATTAATTCTATTCTGAAGAATAAAGAAGAGTAAGATTTGCTGGTGAACTTTGCAGAAAAAAAATCAGCTCCTATTTAGGGCAGCTGTGCTGAGTGAATTTGATGCTAGTGGATAGAGCACGACAATTTCACTGACAAAAGTTGATCAGATAATTTCTTAAAAAAATGTTGTGTAAAATGTCATGATAATACATGATACAGCTGAAACAATCAGTATAGTCAACTGTATTTTAGACATTGAAGGGGGGTGCAAATTTTCAGTGTGTGTTCCAAAAAAAAAAAAAAAGTACACTGAAAGAAATCAATGACTTTATGAAACTATTGCTTAAAAACAAGCTCCATCTCAATGTAATGTGGTACATGAAATTTGAGAAGTGAATAGAGAACAGTAAAATTATGTCAGCAAAAGGATAACTGGAAAATAGGAATAGCAGCAAAGTTGTTTCATGTAGGGAAGATTTCCCTACCTAAAGCATGACTTCTTCCTGGTATCAGCCAAATTTTCCATGTGTGGTCATCTTATGAATCACACTTCCATCTAATTACATGGAGAACAAATGGTATTCTAATATTCAAATAAGGCAGTTAAACCAATAGTATGATTAGACTTCCCTTTTAAGAATAATAATAATAAAAAAATCTGTGATAAACATTAATTTTAGTCTTTTTAAAAATTTGCCCAGAGTTTGGATAATTGGGAGTTCTGTTAGGATTGGAGCCTGGTATATCTGTTAGGTAGTGGAACACAAGTGAAAAGAGAAATGAGGATAAGTTTATTCAAAAGATATCTGAAGAAGTTATCTAAGAATAATTTAGATCATCAAGGAGGTTGTGTGCAGCCTTGTTGCAGAATACGCAGTAAATTTTATGGAAATGAGAGTTCAGATTTAAGAGGATTGAAGTAAGAAAGTATGGCTCTGCTTTTGATGTTAGACTGTGGAATGCAGCTTATGATCTCCAAGAACCAGCAGAAAATTGTCTGTCGGATAAAGAACAGTTAATTTGATTGTTAAGCATTTGGGTACATACAGATTGTGTTGATAAAGTTGAATTGTTGATTCATACCATATCAGTCTTTATTGTTAGCAATACCTGATTTTAGTATCTGCTGAAGTGATGTTTATGTCCAAAACAAAGTATTTTGTTGTGCTGGCTTGTTTGGTCAGGAATGATGGCTTTGTTTCCTGCAGGTTGAATTTGCTAGAAGAGGACTTCAGACATCTCTCTTGATAAAAGCTCCAGAAACAGGAGAATTATTTGTGAATTTTGACCCTCAAATACTAACTTTAATCAGAGAAACAGACTGCATGGTTCACATGTGCCTTGAAATCCCACCACTTGCAAGTATTATTCAGCACAAGAGAGACTGGTATAAGAAGATTGTCAACAATTTGCATGTGGGTTTGTTTTAGTTATTTTATGTATGCGTAGTGTACATTAAGATGTCTAGGTTCCATATGTGTAGAAAAGAAAAAATGAAGATCAGCTATTATGCATTAAGAGACTATTGTTGAAATCTATTTTTTATGTTTATGACTGTCTTGGGGCACTTTTTAAAAGAATTTCTTGGCTTTGTATTTTCTGTGAAGTCACTTCAAAGATGCATGGGTTTAGGGAAACTCTGCAGGACTTGTGAAAGAGATGAGGATGGGGAGGAAAAGAGGCTTAGAAGATGACTTGCTCTGTTGCCTGCTTTCTGAATAAACAATTTATCTCTCATCCAATAATTGAGTCAATATAAGATACACTTTGTGTTGAGAGGACAGCTGGGAGGGAGGAACAGGTGGTATGCCTTTAAAAAGTAGAAGGCATCCAGCAAGTAGCAGGATAGTTCCTGCACCAGTGTTTTACATGGATGTCTGTAGAATAGTTTAAAAATGAGAGGCTGAAACTTCCCTTTCTCTAATCTTTTAAATCCTTTGGATCATTTTTTCTGCCTATGAACAGACAAGGTTCTCGATGACTCAAGATGAGGATTCAAAGATGGGTGTCCAGAAAACTATAACTTCAAAGGGCTACTTGATTCTGAAATGAGAAAAAAATGTCATATTAAGTCATAAAGTCATTGCAAGGGTTGTTTTTTGTAAAACATGTGAAACTCGATCAGTGAGTTAAAGATGCATTAGAAACCAAATATTAGTTCAGCCTTACCAGAACTTTAATAAAACTGCACTTAGGTGCATTTTTATCACCCGGAACATCCATTTAGAGACTGAAATTTGCAAACCTTTTTCTATTTTGTGGTTTAACCCTGGTAGGCAGCTAAGCATTGCACACACACTCGCTCACCTCAGTGGGATGGGGGATAGAATCTGAAGGTTAAAAGAGAAAACATGTGGGTTGAGATAAAGACAGTTTAATGGTGAAAGCAAAAATTGTATGCACAAGCAAAGCAAAATAAGGAAATAATTCACTACTTCCCATCGCCAGGCTGGTGTTTAGCCATCTCCAGGAAAGCAAGGCTATATGATGGTTACTTGGGAAGACAAACACCATAGCTCTGAATTTCCCCTTCTTTCTTCTCCCCAGATTTATTTTTAAGCATGATTCCATAGGTATGGGATATCCCTTTGGTCAGTTGGGGTCAGCTGTCCCAGTTGCGTTCACTCTCAGCTTCTTGTGTCCCTCCAGCTTACTCACTGATGGGGCAGTGTGAGGAGCAGAAAAGGCCTCTATGCTGTATGAGCATTGTTCAACAATAGCCAAAACATTGTCGTGTTATCAATGCTTTTGGTCACAAACCTGTCACCGTATGAGCCACTGTGAAAAACAAATAACTCCATCCCAACCAAAACCAGTGCAGAGATGAATTTCCCTGTGAAGTAGTACTTGCATTATTATGAAGAGCAATAAATAGTGACCTTCTGCCAAAGATAATGAAAATTTACCCAAACAATTAGTTATAATTTCTTAAGAATTTCAGTAATGTATATCCAGAGGAATTTTCTTAATTTATGATAAATATGTGTATGTGAAGAGGTTCAAATCAATGTATGTTAACTAATGCTTTCATTTTCTGTTTATTTCAGCTGATGCTGGCAGAATATAAAAGAATTAAACTGAAAATAAAACACCCTATTGAACAACTGATGGCTCCTCAGTTAGCAAATGTAGATGATGCTCTCCAGCCAGGTCTGATGTTACTGACCTGGACATCCTTGAATATTGAGAAATATATTAATAAGGTTTTTCACAAGCTGTGTAAGTCACTTGCCTCCTTCTATTAGCTTCTGCTTGTTTGTTTCTATACAAATGCAAGCTGTATTATTAAGCTTACGGTCCTTCATACGATTTGCACTTAATTGACTTATACATGAAAGAATTTTCACCTGTCCTGTACTTCATGAAACCTCTGCTTTATGACACCACCTTCTTTTTGTTTCACACATTTGTCAAATTTTTACTAATACGGATAAGATAGCAGTTAGAATTAAGCCAAGCATAAAGTAGCATGCAAAAGGTCCTAGGTATTCTGGATTCGAAGAATGATAGCTACTTTTTAAAAGAGCTTCTGGGTTTCAGACTTTTTCTGATCTTGCCTTTTGTTTCTATAATGTACAAAACAAGTTCTCAGGGAATAATATCTTGACTGAGTTGGCACTGTCACTGCTCAATAGCTTTTCATATTATCCTTTTTTTTTTTTAACAACAATCTCTTTAAAACTAATGCACACAAATCTTGAGCAACAGCTCTAGAAAACAGATGAGCTTGTAGACTTTTTCGAAAGATTATCACAAGATTGTACTGAGATGCGTATCATTTCTGAAGATGTCAAGTTCCTTTTACTTCAGCTTAATTACTACATCAGATTTTGTTTTTTGAAATGATGTAAGTAGTTATAGTGGGATTTTTCTTTAGTTGAAATGGCAAATTAAAATGCTTTTTGGTTGCTTACCTGCCATTATACTGAATTTAATTTTGAATAATACAAGTAGTTTGAGTCTGGAACAGGCACCTTGCTGCTATTTCAATTTCAGCATTGAAAGGAAATAGCTATTAAACTGTGAAAATTCTAGTGATTGTTTTCTGTTAACTATTATTTGTCTTCTAACATTTTTTTCAAGGATGGACATATTATTTGTCAAAAGTTTCTGTTGCTATTAGGTTCTTCAAGTAGTAACTAGTTCAAGCTATACAAGACGGAGAAATATTCCTGTACCTCAATTCAGTTTTAATGTCTATGTTTGAAACACGTATAATTTAAGCTCATCTTGTATATTTTTATAGTATTTTGCCTATTATATTTTAGGATATGGATAACATATGCTAGATGAGCATATGCTTAATACAAAAAATTAATTATGATTTCAGAGGTGAACCTTGCCATAAAAGTTCAGATGTTTGAAATAAGCTGGTTAAGGTGTAGAATTCATATAAAATTGAATATGATAGTTTGTTGAAGTAAAAGTTTAAGCAGGATGCTGCAAAGATTATGGTTTCAAACTTTTAAGCTTGTCTTGAATCTTCTGTTTGTTTCAAAAGCTGGGCTGGAGTTATTGCTTGATCGAGTGAATGACTTGGTTGAATTTCGTATTGATGCTGTCCTTCAAGAAATGAATAGAGTGCCACTTTGTAAGTTGCCAGAAGATGAACCACTGAGCTGTGAGGAATTTCTACAAAAGACTAAGGTTATTAGATAAAAGTTTCATAAAGAAGAATTCAATGACTTTGAATTAAAATATTTTCCCTTTTTAATGAGATAAAAACAGTGCAGAATTAATGAAGCATGTGTGGGAAACTGAAGTAAGGAAATACCCACTTGCTTGGCTGGAACCTTAAAAAGGAACAAAAATACCGAATGCAAAGAGGTCTGATCTGAGATGTTCTTTTCTGAGCTTGTTAATGTTAGGTCAGCTACTGTATGATATTTCTGTTGTGCTTTGATATCACTCAATTTAAATGTTTTTCCTCTGTGATAGTATCTTTTTTGTCATCGTTGCTTGTTAGTGCCTTCAAATAAGGCAGTTGCTCATCTGATGCCTGTGAATAGCTCCATAAATGCACTTCATTGACTGGGAGAGTAAATACTATGGAAATGATTGTGTACTGAATATCTTTGTTAATCTCGAGCTCTCCTGAGTTGGTAATGGGATGTGCAAAATATACTAAGAAGTACCTCGGTGAAGCTTTTCTGGGAAAAGCCCTTTCCTTCACCGTGTCAAAATACTTTTATGTTAAGGAGGATTAGCTGTAAGCATGTAAGTGGTTAGAAAGTTGATTAAGCTAGTAATATAATTGACTGTCAGAATATTTATGAGGCAATAGTGAGATATTCTGGCATTTTAGGTTATAATGTCTTAACTTGTGTTTTCTCCTGAAATAAACTTTGCTTTGGAAAAGATCATAAAAGATCATGTAAATAATCCCCACCCTTGGCCTCTTGTAGCAATAAGTACTACAAATGAAAGTTTTGTTTCTCTTAGTGTACTTTTTGGCCTTTCCTCTTTTGTCCCTTGTCACAGCTCACCTTGTTGTTAAATACAAAGTAAAACTTAAATTATTTTATGGAAGGAATGGTACTTTGTAAGTCTCACAATCCATAATTTTTTTGTTTTTTTTTTTTTGTTGATCCTGCTGCTACTTTCCTGATAGAGTGGTACTAAGACACATATTCACTGAAGTAAAAATATTTGTGAGTGAGCACAAAAAACTTGTCAGCACTGTGTGCTGAGACTGCTTAATGTTGATCTTCTGCAAGAAAACCCGATTATATGGGGTACAGTTAAAATAGTAACAGAGTTTGTAACCTTATTGTAGTTTTTGATTAGAAAGGACTAGAAATATGTTCTATCACTTAACGAGTATCTAAGTTTCTAAAGAAATTACTGCAACAAAAATAGTTATACCATGGAAGTAAACCCCGAAGTACTTTGTTTAGTAGTTGCTGTGATATTGAAAATCAGATCTGCCTTCTCTCTCAACTAAACTGAATCATTAGGAAGATCAAAGACTGTGTCTTAAAGTTTGGAAATGTCTGAATATTGCTAATGGATGATTTTTTCCAATTATTGATTTTTAATTAAATGGAGGTAGACAGGTTTGATTAAGCTTAAAGGAATAGGAGATAACAAAGAAGAAAAATATTAAAAGGCAGTTATAGTTAAAAACCGTAGTTGGCTAAAGCATATTTGATCAATTTTGCCATAAGTATTAAAGAAAAACTGCACAATACTGTAATATATTTCTGAATTTTATTAAATCTCATTCTTTGATTCTTTCACCCCTTAGTTAGTAATCTTCTTGTTTATTCTAATAATAAATACAACTTTTTAGTTGTATAGGTTTTGCCTTCTGTCTAGCTATAAATGGGAAATAAGAATGGCTAATACTCCTTATGGCACAGCCAAGTAATGGCAATGATTAAAAGGTTAAATATTCCATGTCTACATTAGAAAGTTAAGAAAATTAAGAAGCACTTGCTTTTGGGACCCCTTTAACGGAACTAAGCTTTGTAAACGTTGATTTACAATATTAACTGTGGATGAGTCATGTGATTTAGGAAACAAGACACAGCAATTTTGAAAGACATTTATGATGCCTTGTTTGACACAGCAAAGAATCCAACACTAAATAGTTTGGAACAAACCAATTTAAAAATAATATTATGTATTGTTCTTGTTTGACGTTTGTGTTAATAAAGGCTGCTATGACTGAGAAATAGACATGCAAGCTGAGGAGCTAAGAACATATGTTTATTTTGGTTTGATAACAGGAACTCTGTATAAAAGGTTCTCGGACTTTACATTTAAAAAGCTCACTGGTGGAAGATGCTGTTAATGAGCTGATTAACACATTGCTTGACACTGAGGTACAGGTCAGAAAAGTTGAGAAGTCAGTTGTACCCACTGGTGAAATAAGGGGAAAAAATACAGGTAAGATGATTGTATTGTAGCTCGGTGATAATATTTGTTTTGCATGCTGACATATGTTGGGGGATATTCCAACTTAGATGACTGAAGTATCAATCGGCATCTAACATCTAAAGACTTTTATTTGAATTTGCCTGGATAATAGGTCATCTAACAATTATCTGTCATCTGCCAAGTAGGTCAATATTTTCGGTGTAACTTTCATGTTAAAATGTTAATGCTGTAGAAACAGCTACTTACAAGCCTGGGTTAATTGCTGAACTTCTAGAAAAGGAATATAAGAAATATCTAAATTTTGGTGATAATTATGCCAGATTGTACTGAGTAGAAAAGGTGGAGAGGAGTAAAAGAACTGTTATGTTGAGGTACAGATTACAAATGAGTATCATCTGCATTTCTGTAAAAATTTAGCTTAATTTCAGACTCCTGTGGAGGTATTGCTTTATTGCGTTTTCAGGTCTCTTAAGTCAATTTAACTGACTAGATTTATGATGTTTTAGCAACAGAAGAGGAAAGAAGATCAAAAAGCTTGACTTCCTCCTACAACTCCAGTGACATATGGGCTGGGCTGTCTGCTTCAGCAAAGAGGAAGAGAACAGATTTAGAAATGTTAGAGGAAGAAGCCAATGAACTGCTTTCCTACTTTAATAATTGTAATATTGATGCCCTTTTGAAAGTCACTCGAAACACTCTGGACACTCTACGCAAGCGCATCCATGCATCTTCCATGATCAACTTTTTAGGTGGCCATGTTGCTGTACTTTGCTTTCTTAACCTATAAAAAGAAATACATTATTGTAATATACCAGAATGATATAAAATAGTCATATATGTAAAAGATGGGAAAACAAGGAGGGTTTGAATAAGCTGTCTTGTTAAATCACAATGGATAATGTGGTATATTTCCAAAGGATTTTTTTTCCCTCTTACAGTAGGAATGTGTCATTGTGATGCTGTTTCTCTTGGGACTGACTGTACTGTTCTGAAGCCAGATGTTATATTTGGAGCTGGGCTTGATAAGTGGTTACCTGTTTGACCTTGGCTTTTACATAAAACTCTATTAAAAAAATAGAAAGAGGTGTGTTCTCTTTCTCTTAATAATTGACTTTAGATCTTTCTATACATTATACTGGAACACTCTTCTGAAGTGTTTTCTTGTTACATTTAAGAAATAAAAATAAATGCATTTGTATTTGGTCTCTATAGCATATAAGGCATACAGTATTATGAGATTCTAAGGAGTTTTTGTGCACAATTTAGTAGGCTGACTGCGAGCACGAGCCAGATAACAAAATTTTCTGCTAAACAGAGTTTAGCTGCACAGAACAAGTTGAAGAGGATCTTCATGGAGAGAAATAGCATGGCACTTAGTTTTTGCTTGTGCTGCTATAGAGTTTAACAATACATCCTGTAAATTACTCAGGAATCTTTTTTTCCTTAAGAAACTACACTCCATACTGAACACTAGTCTGTATATATTGGATTATATCACTACAATGCCTTGTTTGATATCTTGAAAAAAGTCAATGACTTTTTTTTTTTTCTTTCATTTAGAAAATGACAATGCTTCTAAGCAGAAAAAAAGAGCTCATCCTATAATTAGGACCAGTATTAACTTGTCTATCCCTAATGTCATCATGACACCCTCTTTGGATGAGGTACAGCAGACACTTAATAAAGTGGTAGATAGTATTGTGAAAGTAATGAAAGGAGTTGGACAGTGGAGCAAGGAGAGAATATCTAAGGTTTGTGTCTTTAACAGCCTCACTTAAAAGTAATGTTTGAAAACTACTGCAAATAGAAAATGAAATTTTATTTCTTCCCCAGAAGAAAATGTCAGAGAGGAATGTGGCTATGTTGCAGTGTGAGAACAGAGACAGCGATTCTGATGATGGAATGAAAGAGACTGGAAAGAAAAACATCCATGGTAATGATAAACTCTGACATCACTCCATTTGAATGTTAGGTAAATGTGATTTATACAGAATGCGTTAAAGGGTATTAAATACAAAGGGCATCAAAACTGGTAGAATGAAGACTTCAGATTTTAAACTACCTCGGAGAAGAAAGAGGATATAATAACAATGCCAGAGCTCCTCTTTGTGATTATAAACCAAGCTTGCTTGAAGATACTTTGTGGGGATTTGAGTAAGGGGGTTTGTTTGTGCCTCTCAGAATTGTAGGTATTTAGTTTCTACCTGCACCATGTGAAAAGCTGTTAAGGTGCCAGCTTGGGCAGCATAGTAGCAGTTGTGAATGATTTTGGAAAACACTTATAGTCGTTATTGCTACACAAAAGATTTTTCATGATTTACTAGTGCGGTTTGGAACTTGTTATGTTCAAATGACATCTTAAAACTTGTGTTGAAATTCTTTTAAGAAGGGTAAGTTAAACTCAAACAAAACCTGCTACTGAAGAGAAATGTCTATGTAAATTGCAGTATCAGTGGAGAGAGGATTGTGTAGAGGATTGAATAGACTAAAATTTCTAAAAGGATTTTAACTTAATCTGTTTTGTGATCAGACATGGAATTAAGTTATTGAAGGCATTAATTCAAGGAAATTTAAGATGGTTTCTTTGGTTGCTGGGTTTTTCTTGTCTGAGATGGTTTAGAATCAAGCCGAGTTAATTGTTCTACTTTATACTTCAGGTGCTTCAAAAATATATTGAATCTTTTTAGGTTAGCTCCCTCTTACACACCAAAAAAGTAATACTTGAACTGGTTGAGAAATTAAATTATTCTTTTGAAATTAAGACTTTGTCTTGCCTGAGATAAAATAAGAAATGATGGTAAACTCGATCTCGTACGTATTTGCTAGCTAATGGACCTTCCTTTTGTGTTTCTTTCCTTTTGAGGACTGGCTATGCTCATCTTCTTGGATGTCAATTGTGATCTACCCCACATTATTTCAGAAAACAAAAATATTTATATATTTCCTTAAAGCTGATACATCGGTAAATCACTTATGTGAAGTCTACAGGATAAACCTTGTGGAGTCATTAGAGAAAAGGAAAGATTATATTTGAAGGATTGGAGTGGAACTTGTTCCAAATGTACCTAGATGAAACAAGTTTCCTAATATTGAGAGGTTTATGAATGCATGGCAATTATGTTGGCCACCTAGTCATTAGTTTGTGTCTATAGGAATTTACTCAGCCTGAACAGTATGTCTGTCCTTAAACTGCTTTTGTATTTGAATCTGCCTTTATAGATGTGTCAGATGCAGCATCACTCAGTTTGTCTGATCCAGTGCAAAGCCAGAACTACTTCAAGAGTGTTTCAGAGAACAAAGAAATTATTAAATCAGTGTCTTTACTCAGCACTGCTATTAATTCTACAAAAAGGGTAAGACAATCGAAGTATTACTTTAATATTGCTGTCCAAGGGGTATTAACTTCCTTGGGCAATAAGGGAAGGCATTTAAAGCAGTAATTAAACATATTAATAAAAAAGTGTAAGTTGGTGGGTGGAAAACATGTGGCTGCAGATTTGCAAATATGCTTTAAGAGTGTAACATGGTTCAAGTGTACTCTGCTCAAATATATGAGGTTTTGAATATTACATAAAGTAAAAATTAGGTCTGATTAAAAACATATCTCCAATTGGTAAAACATTGTAAGAAACGCTAGGTATAGTTGAGTTGTGTGTATTTAATACAGAACTGGTAGTAATTGTATAAGTGTATTAAATACAGTTTTATTCACATAGAAATTCTAATGAAGCCAGCATGACTTGTGGCCCATTTTGAAGAGTTTCTGAAGATTTTTGGAGGAAAATTGTCTGTCGGCTTGGCATTTGTAAAATGCTGCGTAGGGTTTGCTACTGGAGTTTAGGAGATAGCTCAGGGGATATGCACAATTTCTTTGCCATTCTCTTTCTCCTTGTACTCTCTAGTAAACTGTCAAGTATTGCACTGATTTTTTTTTTTTTTTGGGAACTCTGCATCAGTTCCTCCTGGAGCCAGTCCAACCTTCCAATGGAGCTTTGCCAAGTGGAGATTTTTGACTCAAAACCTTGTAACTTCAGCGGTGCTAAAGCATAACTAGTGCAATGACATACGTGCTTGTGCTGAAAACTAAGATGCATTTGATAATGGTGGATAGTTGTCTTGGTATTTTGATACTCAATATTTTGTAATTGGAGACTTTTATCATTTAGACAGATTTAAATGCCTGCAAGCACTATGTTTATCATAAGCCATGATGTGGATTATCTCTTGTAGCAGTCACCTCTTATTTACTTGTTAGATTAAGTGATGATGATTTAACTTTGTCTGACATTTTTCTGAACTCCTGAGAACCAGAAAAATAAGTCTATTGCACATTCCTTAAATTATATTAAAATCAAGGATACCGGAATTGAATGTAGAATTTAATGTTAACGTCACCAATGTCATACATGTAAAAAAAATTGTCTTGTAACTTAATTATTTGAGAACAAATTGAATTACTGCTGTTCTTGTGTTGGGTCCTGAGCTCAGGTTTCAGTTTCTAGTCCAGTAAGTGGTAGGGAAGGACAAGTGTGGAGTATTTTACTTTCCCCCGATTCCTAGGACTTTATTAATGGAAGAATCATTTCATTGGAAAATACTGTAACTGATTTGACGAATTGAACGTGGCTAGCATACAGTTCCTGGCAAGGCTTGTGATTGCTAATGGAACTTGCTTTAGCATAAATTTGCCAGAAGCCTTCTGTTTAGTGAGGTGATGCAAACTGCTCTACTATAGAGTTCTTAATGTATTGTAATGAGCAGATGCTAAGAAATTATATGTATGCTATACATATAGTGCTGTGGATCTTTCTTTGAACTTCTAATGTGTTTCAGGAAGTTCTTACTGCTTTGGAGAGTTTTAGTTGTTACCACCCTATATGGCAGAAGGACAAGGAGGAAACCATTGATAAATTAATGATGGGAAACCCATTACTCTCTGAATTTGAATCTGAAATTCTGCACTTCCGAGACTTGGAGCTGAAAATCGATTCTGAGCCTGAATACATCTGCGTGGGAGCTCTTGCACTATACACTGGTAGCGTTCAGCTTTCCGCTTCTCTCTAGAGTCATATACTTTCTGACTCCTGTGGGGAGGAGAGATGGTGCTTAGTCTTGGATGGGTGAACTAGGTTAAAGATGGAAAGGAGAAAGAGAGAGAATGGCTATTTTCCATTTTGACTGTAGATGCATTCAAATGAAACACACAAGGGTATTTGTGAGGTTCAACTGGAGCTGCTTCTCCCACCTGGATACTTCTGCTCACTTATGGGGTGGATGGTAGATGTTTACCTATTCTTCTGTCACTGACCCTTGTAGATACATATTTTATAGGAGTAAGATGATATATTTATGTTGCTTTTCTCCTTGCCTGGCTGCATGTAACAAGACAGCTGAAAAGTCTTCTGTTTAACAGAGTTCGATGAAACGTTCATGTTGTTTCTGATTCCCTTTTTACCATGAAGGCCAGGCCTCGAATCTTTACTTTTTTTTTGTAGCTCAGGTTCTACATCACCTAACTAAATTTTGCATCAGCATTTTACACCAGTGTAACAGAAAGGACAGTTGGAAACTATGATGGACTGTAAGAAACATATACAACTGATTTTGCAGTGGATGTCAAATCTGAGGAAGCAGAATGTTTTACTCACTAGGAAGGAGTGTCAACCAAATGCCTTTGATTATATAATAAGGCAAAGAACTAGAGAAACAAGCTGGCTGTTGAAACTCAATGGAGGTGAGGTAGTTTTGATATTTAATAAATCAAAAGACCATCAGGTGTGAGAGCTAAGCATGGAAAAAGGCACCGTGTAAAAAGGAAGACACACAAGTGAAATCTGCACAGGGGAATGAATAGGTAACAGGGTTGAATTTATATCCAGCTAAAATCTTATGTAATGCTTGTATTGATTTTTGATTCCTCCGTTGAGAACTCTGAGAAAGATGCTGCAGTGATGCTGCAGATAAAACTTCTAAAAATTAAGTGGTTGATGGACCATTTGGCTTCATTAAATATCAGATCAAACTTTCTGCTTCTTCAGCTTCCATAATCAGACTCGTAGTTGTTTTTATAGGATTATTTTTTAAAAAGATTTTAGACTTGGATGAGAATATTAACCAATTTGTTAGTGATGTGTAGGACAGAAATTTGTATAACAGTACATGAACAGTATGACAAGTGTGGCATCCAGACTCATCTTTCCAGTAGGAAAAATGGTATATTCTGAGAAGATTAGGAGGAAAACAATCCTGAATTGCAGGTAATCCTATAAACGACTCAAAAGTGTCAATGTGATTTCATCTTCTCTGTACATGGATGGTTAGACTGAAAAAACAGAACTGGGAGCAAAGAGAACATATATTGAAAAAAGATTAAAAGTATATCTTAAAAAATATCTACAGTATCTAAATATCTACTCATTGTTCAATATTTTCAGCTGATCTGAAGCTAGCATTGAGAGCAGAAACCAAAGCGTGGATGAATTTGCTGGGGTGTCATTGTAATAAGAAGTACCGAACAGAAATGGAAGCAATTTTCACTTTTATAGAGGAAACTGGCAAGAAGTTAAATCGCCACATCAAGGATCTGGATGATATAAGAATAGCCATGTCAGCATTAAAAAAGATCAGAGAACTACAGATCTCCATAGACTCTCAAATTGGGCCCATTGAGGTAGTTAACAGGAGTGTTGCATGTATGGGTACTGTTTGAACAGAGCAATTATTTTCTGGGTTAAAGCTTAACACGGCACTTTGAAAAGGTATTATTTAATATGTGTTAAATGTTGGCTGGCAGACCTATTGTGTTCCTGTAAACTATTTTTGTAAGAAACACTGATCTGGACAGGTGCAAACTTGTTAAGGTGAGAGTTGGTTTAGTGAATAGTACAGAAATTGAGTGATTTAGGTAAGAGGAAGATGAGAATACATATCTAATGCAAGAAAGCTTTGGGTACTTTGTGGAAGAAGTCTGTATATGAAAAGCATTGATTTTCCTCTTTTTTTCTTTTTTTTTTTTTTTTTTTTAGCTTAGTCTACAGAAGAGAAGAAAGCTAATATTAAGCAGATTATAAGAGAATGAGTGAGAGTGATTGCTTTATCAACTGTATCATGGTTGAAATGAACATAAACAATTGACTTCTTTAAAGAAGTTCACTTACTAGAATTCATTTATTGAACATCTTACAATGTAAGGGCTTCTGGTCAGATGGCAGAATTAAAATCAGATAGTAACTGTTTCTCTGCATTCCTGACCAGAGTATGGATTTACGTATACTATAATTTGGCAAAATGAATCATTGACTAGATACTCAATAGATTTTTTTTTTTTTTCCCTAAGATGTGTTCATGATTCCTGACTGCCTATAATTTTATTTTCAGGGTTTTGCCCTTATTGTTTTAAGTTAAAGTAACTTAACACAGAATTCTTATCTACCTATTATTGACAACTCTAATATTCTGTTTTGGAGATGCAAAAAACTGTGTTTGCTGTAAGACAAATGTCTTGCACCTCTGTTTTCTGTTTTTGTTTTCTCTGAGGTGAGATAAATTATGGAACACAGTATGTACTCTTATGTGCAAATAATGGGAATGAGCGTGGAGCCCTTTCGTATTTTGCAGAATACAACTAAGAAGGAATATATCAGCCTTAGAAGCTGTGATGGTCTCCCTAGTTTTATGAAGGAGTAAAAATAGGACAAATAGTTGATGGTGAAAAACAAGGCATATCTGCATCTGTAACATTCTGTGAAATTGTCATAGGTAATGGGATCTCTTAGGAGATAATATTTTGGAAGTTCCTGCTAAGACCTGTTCTGGTTTGCCGTGTGATGTGGAGACAAGGCAAAGGCTGTGGTAGCCAAGGATTCTTAAGCTTCCAGTTCTGCAAGCAGGAGCCTTGAGTCCCTAGGCACAAGGAGTCATGCTTCAGATTTTTGAAATGGAGGTTGATGTACTTTCCACATAGTGGAGTGTCAGACAGATAGTTATGTTTTCATTTTTTCAGTTTGTCTGCAATTTGATCAAACTGGAAGACATAAATGGAAATAGTTCCATTTGATACAATCATTTTCAGATGAAACAAATTCATTGCTACCCTACTCTATGCTATTTCACAGTTAGTGAATTTTAGTTGTGATTTTGTGAAATTTGACTAAATGTTTCAGTATGTGTAGTGTTTATATGTCAGTGGTACAAGTAGAGATCGAGGTTCTGCAAAAACAAAACCCCATTAACTATATTAAATGGATTCCTCTTTCTGAATGATGAATATTTATAACATTTTAAAAGGTTGCAACACATTAGTTACAGTAACTTTTGATGTAGTTTCCTAATTATTTTTTGTTGAAAACATGAAATAGGTCTTAAAGGCCTTTATGGAATAGAACTTTGTTTACTTTGCTTACTTGAAGGCCTCTGCTTAGATACTTTCTCATGGCTCACCACCTGTAATATTCAGCTTGGGTCATAGCAGGTAATTGAAGACATGGATCAGAAAAATATTCTCATTAAAATGAAACTCTAGACTTAAGGAGTACTTTAACTGGGATTAGTTTTTAGAGAGGCAGATTGCATGAGGGCGAATAATCTATCAGAAAGCAAAATGCTGTGTGAAAGGTAAGGACTACATAGTTTTAATTTTGATGGTTTTTTGCAGTTTGGTATTGGTTTGCCAGATTGTGATAATGGTATGCAAAAAGATAAGATTTTCATTTTCTAACAAATCATTCTCTGTTCTTAAAAATTTAAAATTGTAGCATACATATGTGTGTCAAATTAACTTCAGTTACCATTTTGTGTATCTTGATCCAACCTTCTGACAGGAATCCTATGCTATGTTAAATAAATATGATTTACTTGTGGCCAAGGAAGAGACAGAGAAGGTGGACACTTTGCACTACACTTGGGAAAAACTGCTAGTTCGTGCAAATGAAGTGCAGAATGAGCTCATTGCTTTGCAGCCAAACTTCAGAGGAGAGCTTATTAGCACTGTGAAGACTTTTACTGAAGACTGTGCACAATTCTATTCAGATTATGATCAGGCAAGTGTTTGTGGTGTTTTCCGTTAGAGGAGTTTTTGAGGAGCAGTGGGAGCATGGAAAGATTGTGGAGTCGACCAATTAAAGGGATGTGCCTCTACTGTCTGAAGAATATGTTTATTCTTGTTTATGTGAGTATTGTATTCAAATTTCAGTGCAGGCCAGGATATGGTTATTTTTTGAATGTGACTAAAGTATTTAATGCTGGTAATCAACTCTTAAAGATTAAGACTTGAGACATTTAGGGTTTATGATATACAGCTAGTTAGCATGAGCAAATGTGAAGATTTGGATTAATGAGAAATTATTTTAGAATGTAAGAAGTGTTTTCTGATATTGGATATAAGTACAAATGACTTAAGCTCTTATTTCCTTTCTTAGTAGAATATAAATGAGTCAAGCTGAACCAGTCTTGTATCATCTTCTAAGTAATGCTGATTTCTACTTTAAAAATGAGCTACCATTGCCTAGCTTTTTGCACTATTATGAAAACTTCTGTGGCAATTTTCACCCTCTAAATTAACTTATTTATTTACTATTTATTTATTTATTTCCCCAGAATGGGCCAATGGTGGTTGGTTTAGAGCCTCAGGAAGCCAGTAACAGGCTCACTATGTTTCAGGTACTGTTATTTCTAAGATATTGCTTAATACTTATTGCAAGTAAAGTAACACTTGAAGGTTTTGAGAATAAATCAGAGTAGTTGAACTAGTTTTCTTTGATACATAGGTTACTGATTGGGCAAAGCCTGTTTAAAATTAATGAAAGTTATGTTGGTATTTTTTCTATGCATTTGTGTCTTTTCTTCACCAGTACAATTCTGCCCAGTCTTCTTCCACTCTCTCTCTCTCTCTTTTTTTTTAAATAGTATTAAAGGTTTCAATTTAAACTGACTGTTTTTCCTGTTGAAATGTTTTTGTACCATGACTTATCTTCCTGTAATCTTTCTCTTCCTGTAATGATGACTTCTAATGGTTTTCCTTTTCCCATAGTGCTATTCATTTGGCTTCCTACTATGTTCCCTCAGTTATATTGCAATAGACAATTAAATTTTGTTATTCTTTGCTGCTTAAACAATAGTAATTCTTACTTCAACCCTTCAATAAAAGAATTGCATGGCATACACGGAGAGGTAGAATTTGCTGCATCCAGCTTTCTCTGCTTTGCATATCATGCTCCACCTCTTTCAAGTGCAAGCTTAATATTTATTGTTCTGTCACTGTGCCACATAAAGTAAATGGCCTCCCTGTCAACTTCTAAAGATGTGCTTCCAAACTAACTAAAAGTTACTTTTCTCATGAAAATTGTTGACAAAATTGTTGACAGTGTAAGTTGTTAGTATCTCCTAAATATCTTTCTAGTATTTACTAGATTTTAATCACTGCTGCAGCTCTAAGCATAATGCCAGATCTTCAATATTTAACTATTTAATTTTATGTAATTTAATTTTTTTCTTTTTCTTTCTTAGAATCGATTTGATAATCTTTTTCGTAAATATATTACTTATACTGGTGGGGAAGATCTTTTTGGTTTGCCTGTTACTCAGTATCCTCAGCTGCTTGAAATAAAGAAGCAACTGAATCTGCTACAGAAGCTCTATAATCTGTATAACAGTGTCATTGACACAGTCAGTGGCTACTATGATATTCTTTGGTCAGAATTAGACACTGGAAAAATTAGCAGTGAACTTCTGGAGTTTCAGAACAGGTGAGAAACTGCTGCTGTGGTAAAGATGCCTGAAAGACTTTTGTTACTTCTTAAATATTATTATAATTAAATAGCACCAGTAATCATATTTGAGCATGTATTTTTTCACTGGAACATGAAAAATGTGAATTTTAATTGAAAAATATATCCGTTACCGACTTCATCAAGTAAAGGAGCCAGTTTAGACTCTAAATGTTGAGGATAGGGAGTTTCTTGGTTAACTTTTTTTTATGAGATTGGACTATATGTTAAAATTGCCATTTATTTTGTTCACAAAGGGAAATTTCACTTGTTTGTTATAATAATATTATTAATTTAATAATATTATTAATGAGGGACAGATTAATCCTAGATGTCTAAGGCAAGTTAGTGAATTGCTGAATAGTTTTCCTATGAAAAGAGATACATTGCATGCGTTGAAGCTGAACTTTTCATCAAAGCAGGAAAAAAATGATTTGAAGAATTAAACCTGCATGTTCTGAGGAACAGGATTTTTTTCCAGACCACAGAGCATTGCATATCATGAGCCTCACCAAAAGATGAAATAAAAATGTAAAGTCATTCAGTTGTTTTTGGAGATTACTTGGACAGAGCGTATTAGAATTATACAGCTACTCTCCTTAAGGGGAGCCTGTAGGTGCCTGCCCACCTATCAGTCAGTGAAATAGACTGGAAACAGATTTTCTTACATGCAGAATCACATACAGAATCTTCAAAATACAGGTAACCTGAATTTGGAAGGTATGTGGTTTTGTGTTAAAACCATATACTGTGGCTAGATGTGTAACAGAATATTTTAAACTGTTTGAAAAAGCTTGCATTATTTCCACGTAGATGCCGTAAGCTTCCTCGTGGTGTAAAGGAATGGCAGGCCTTTTTTGACCTAAAGAAGACCATTGAGGACTTCAGTGAATGTTGCCCATTGCTTGAGCGTATGTCAAGTAAAGCAATGATGCCTCGGCACTGGAAGCGGATTATGGATCTCACTGAACATAACTTTGATGTGGAAAGTGAAACATTCAAACTGAGGAATATAATGGAAGCTCCACTATTAAGATATAAAGACGAAATAGAGGTATTGTAAAGGAAGAGAAATGAATGAATGAAACAAACTGATCTACTCAAATAGTATGGGAATAACAGTAGTAAGACGGAAAACAATATATCTAAAGGAAGAACAGAGAAATGGATTATCACTTCAGCTTTCTGTATAAAATAATGACACAAATACACTGTGGTGTCAACTCCATTTTTTAAATCATGTAACTTCACTCAGAAGTTAATTTGTGAAAGTGCGTTGCTTTGCAACATTGATGATATGAAAAGTAATCACTGTGTTATTCTTTTATTCTGCCCAAAGCTGGCCATATCATCATGTGGTATACATGTTATTAGCTATGGTGTTTGTATGTCTGTAGATCTTTCCACTTGATAAATAGTTGCTCATCAGCCTTACTGGGGTTAAAGGAAATTTGAGTTAGATTTGTATACTGGAGACTTTAACCATTCTTAGCTTGTTTTGACATCTTATTTATTTAAAAGGATATCTGCATAAGTGCTGTGAAGGAGGGAGACATTGAGCAGAAGTTAAAACAAGTGATAGCTGAATGGGACAACAAAACATTTATCTTTGCAAACTTTAAAAACCGTGGGGAACTTCTTTTAAGAGGTGACAGCACATCAGAAACAATTGCTACGATGGAGGACAGCTTGATGATTCTTGGCTCTCTTATGAGTAACAGGTAACAGGAAAAGAGGGGAGGGAGAGAGGAAAAAAAATATCAGCAAGAGGCTTTGTTTTATTGAACAAATTTGTCTTTCACAGAGCAGAAGGAAAATAAACATCTAGATAAAAACTAAGAGCTTGCTTGTCCTTGAACTTTTCATGGGCTACTTCTTATTGTCTGTATCCCTCCAATAAGTTCTTTTGAAAGTATGCCAATGCAGTTCAGACTTCCTGAATAATCAGCTGGACATTTTTCATCTCTGCGAGAAAGTGGCAACGAGCATAAAGGGGAACAGCGCCAGGTTCTGCAGGCATACTATGGGCATTACAGACACTGCTGCTCTGTCTCCTGTGGTAGGTCACTGCCTCATGCCAAAGGTGCTGAAAATCTCAGTTAAAATGAGCTTCAGTTTCTCTGGTTTCACATGCAGATAAAATGCCTGCAGATAAAATAAGGAACACATTTTGAACATCAGGCAGACGTTCAAAAGCAAGAGTTCAGTTAAGTCTTGCAGCTTTCAAGATATTGCATAGTCCTTTTTTGAAACTACTTTACCTTAGAGTGAAATTGAAATCTTGCTCCTATTCAGCTTCTCTTGTATCACAGCTGTGCTACGCACCATGTGTACAAAGCAGCAATTTGGAGCTGATTTTATAGCTGCTAACTAGCTGAATTGAATCAAGTATAAGTTTTTGTACTTTCACTTGACAAAAATACGAGCAGCAAACTATTCCTCATCCTTATGAGTAATGTGCTGGCTTTCAAGAGACTTGTTTCAGTCTTGAAATAAAACAGTTGTCTTCTTTTTATTTTAGATACAACACACCTTTCAAGACACAGATTCAGAAATGGGTGCACTATCTTTCCAACACAACAGATATCATTGAGAACTGGATGACTGTGCAGAACTTGTGGATTTATTTAGAAGCTGTTTTTGTTGGTGGTGACATAGCAAAGCAGCTTCCAAAGGTTTTCAGACGTGCTTTTTTCAGTTTGTTTTTCTACATTTTAAGAATAAAACTTAACTGTGATGTCATAATTGGTGCAGTAGCATAAACTTCATTTTTATTGGTGCTTAACAAAACTAGTTTTGCTAAGAAATTAGGTAACAATGCAAACAGAAGTATTGTGATAGAAAGAATAATAAAATTGTGTGAGCTAGTTGATCTTTTTATTTCTAGATTGTAAAATTGTTAAGCAGTATGTGTTGTGCCTAGTAGTAACCTAGCCTAGTTAGACTAGCTTAATAGTACCTAGGAATCTGTATCTTAAACTTTCCTGCATAGCTTTTCAAATTAAAAATTAACTTCAGTTTTGAGAAAACAATCTTCAAATTTGAAGCGTGCACTTCAAGCATAATGAGTTTTCTCTCTTTTTCTTTAAGAATGATTGAAAGCGGAAGTAGATAGCAAGCTTGACAGTCAAGTATAAAATAAGCTGTATTGTGTATGCAGAAAGATTTGTGTTTTTTCTAAGCTGAAAAATCTTTAGAAGTTGGACATGGGATTACTAGTGAGAAGATTACTGGTGACATTGCTGGGTGCCAACTCTGAAATAAGTGCCTTTTCCCTCTTCTGTCTTCCTTCCTTCATCTCTTCTCTTCCACATTAATTGTTGTGATTTACTTGTCATGTTTCAACAGGAAGCAAAGCGTTTCTCTAACATTGATAAATCCTGGGTGAGGATCATGACTCGAGCTCATGAAACACCTAATGTTGTTCAGTGCTGCATTGGAGATGAAATCATGGGACAGTTACTACCACATTTACTAGAACAGCTTGAAATCTGTCAGAAATCACTCACAGGGTAAGATTACTAGAAGACCACAGTCTTGGGCAGATGGTTGTGAGTTGTG